CTATTTCACTCTCTGTCGCTCAGCTCAGAACAGAAACTCCGTGTCACCGCAGCACCTGTCCCCCACATTTGCATCTAAACCGCACCAAGTCCACTCAGCGCTACTTTCCCCCTCCCAACAGCTGACACGGTGGGCTTTGTCCTGAGACAAGGCAGTGCTGTTCTTGACCAGCTTTCCCTAATCTCATCCTAGTGTTTATCTCCTCTTGTAGCCCCTCCACAGCCTACTGAAGGTTCTTAACCACCCAGGCTGCCAGGCGGGGTGGTGCATGCCTTTGATCTCACTGCTTGGGCAGCAGAGGCAGGCAGATATCTGTGAGTTCAAGGCCAGCCCATTCTACATACAGAATTACAGGCCTGTCAGGGCTACAAATTGCTAGCCTGTCCAAAATCAAAACACAACAACAACAAAAACAAAACCAACACAGATCATGGGATTCTTCTCCCAGATCCCTCTCATCCAGTAAGGAAGAATAGGAAAGAGGTCAGCGAGGTAGGAGGGAAAGCCGAGGCAGGAATGTCAAGAAGGGACCAGACACAGGTCAATGGGGGTGGATGTCAGGACAACGGAAGGATAGTCAAGGTACTGGGGGAGGTCTGCCTCCCTCCCCTTCCTCTCTCTCTTTAATTTGTAATCAAACATACAGGGAAATCTCCAATACACTTTTAGATCTTCAAAAAAAGTCACAGAGATTTGAGGCCAGCCTGGTCTACAGATCGAGTTCTAGGACTGGCTTCATAGCTACTGGGAAATCTCGTCTCGTAAAACAAAAATAAAGCAAAAAAGCAACAGCTTCCATGGTCTCCTCCTATTGGTAAATGGCCCTGGAGAGAGGCAGATTGCTAGTGCTGTAATTTAAGCACCTAGATCCAGCCGTGCCTGAAACCCCATTGCCTACTCTATTTCTACTCTGCTCAGCTATGTGATCCAGAGAGTCCCCCGGTTTTTAAAAACTAACCCTGACTGAGATGGGCTTCTGTCACTTGCAGCCTTGGGGGTGAGAAGTTACAGGTTTTTATTTGTTTGTGTTTCCGGGGCGCCTTCGCTGGGTTCTGTTCTCACCCCCATTTTGAAGAGGGACCCATCAGAAGAGCACAGTGCCAGGGATGTGTATCATTTTTCTCTCTGGCTCTGCACCCCCTCACCCATTGTTCTTTCCTGACTCTTCCATGAGGCCATATGTCTGCATGGCCCCCTTTCCCCATAAGTTCTGGGGCAGTTTTAGTCCTTCCATTCATGTGAAGAGAATGCTTGCCTCATCCAGTCGAGCAAGTGGAAAAATGAATGCGTGAATGACTGGGAGAACGGATGCGTGGAATGAATAAGCCCAGTGGGAGGCTTGAGTCAGCAGCAACTTCATGGACCAGTGCAGCCGTCCCGGGCAGACACTTGCGTTATCAGCCTCGGCCTAACTGAATCGGAAATCACAAGCCGGCCTCTGCTCTTGTGGCTGCACTGCTCTTATCAGCTGCATTTCTGCAGCTGCTGTGGGTGTGGTAGCCATGTAGGGGACAGCTGGGTGACTGCAGACAGCCCCAGAGCCATCCCTTACACGGAGGACTGGAAACATTTTCCTTTTTGAAGGCGCACACCTGTTAGCCTGCCAGAAAAAAAGTAGAGAGGGAAAAGGAGGTGGTAATGAGAAGGATCTGCCCCGCCCCTGCCCCTGTGCACAGCCCTGCCCCTCTCCACCGGGGAGACACCGAGTTTCACCCAACTGTGGGGCTTCCTACTTCCCCTTAGGGTTTGTTTTATCTGAGTCGTCTAACCCATGCTGTTTTGGGATCTCTCATCTGTATCTATCTCCCCTGCCAATGGGAACAGTGATTCCCCAGCCACAGCAGCAACGAGGGGCCCAGGGCAGTTCATGTCAGCAAAGGCACCTTTAGGGGACTGTGCAAGTGTGAACACACACACACACACACACACACACACACACACACACACACACACACACACACCACTCCTCCTAGTATGCCTCTGACTGTGGAACCCCTTCTCCTTGGGGTTCGGTTTCTTTATCTATAGCCTGAGGTGTTGGAGAACATGTTCAAAATGGTTCTTCAACATCTCAGCTCTCCAGATGATCCTGGTTCTGGCTCATTTTGCACAGAGAAGACCTCTGATCCCAGGCCATATAGGCCCCTTTTCCTTAGAGGTGTGGGTGGGTGCGTGGGGTAGGGCGGTCCTGAGCCACCCCACCTGTCCCCTACCCTTCAGAAGGCTTCAGGCCACCATTCCCTCAGTTGGGCAGCACAGACTTATCTGGGGCAGGATAAATGCTATGGAAGTTTCCCCTCCCCCTGCCCCGTCCCCTCTCCCAGGCTGCCCCCACCACTGCTGAGGGGGTACAGAATGTCCCTTCCATCATGAGACCAGAGCTTTCCTCTTGAATTCCATCGCAATGAAGCCAGCCCTAGAGACATACATAAACTTTGCTTCTGGGCCTCAGTTTATCTACCACTCCTGTGAGCTACTGAGAGGAACACATAGCTCCCTGGCTAAGTACAGGCATTCTGGAGGCTACCATCTGGGCTCGAATGGCAGCTTCCTCTATTTACCATCTGTGGAACCTTAAGTAAGTTTTTCAACTCCCCAATGTCTCAGTTTCCCTACCTATAGAATGGGTATAACCGTACCAACCTCACAGGGTCAGCAAAGGCACACATGAATTCACATGAGCATGAGGGGATCCAGAACACTTGACCAGTGTAGGATTAAGTACTGGTAAGTGTTGTTGAGGTGGATTTAACCCAGCTGGCATTCACTTGAGGTCTTACTCAAGTGGCCATGACTAAGAAGCTGAGCCTTCCACCTCTGCCTTCCTAGATCTCTCAGAGGGGTGCACTGGGCAGCTGTGGCCACAGCTCCCTTTCCAGGGAGCATTCAGAGCCTCGGGTGTGTCTGCAAGCAGAACCCAGAGGAAGAAACTCTAACGATGGATAGAGCCGCCTGCTTGCCATGCCTCCGGTGGGGGTAGAGCACTCTTTGTCCCAGAGAGCCGCTTTCTGTGCTCAGTCTTTATTGAAAGGGCTTGAAGGGTTAGGTAAAGAGAGAGATTCGGAAATGCGAGGAAAGGAGGGAGCAGGACCCCCCTCCACCCCCCATCACATGCAGGGAAACAGGAAGTCCTCTCCCCAAGGTTCTGAGTGTCTCGCAGTCCACAGGGCATGCCCTAGGTGGGTTTCTTTGTTGCTGTGGTGAAACACTGACCAAAACCAACTTAGTGGGAGGAAGGGTTTATTTCACCTTGGGACTCCCAGGTCCTTCACTGAGGGAAGTCACGGTAGCAGCTCAAGCAGGAGCCGAGGCAGGAGCCACGGAGGATCGCCGCTCACTGGCTTACTCTCCACGGCTCACTCACTTAGCTTCCCTTTTTATATAACTCAGGACCACTTCCCCAGTGGTACCTCCATAGGGGGCCAGACCCTCTCATCAATCATTAATCAAAACAATACTCCACAGACATACCTACAGGATAATCTGCTGGAGACAATTCTCCAGCTGTGGTTCCTCTCAAATGACTCTGGCTTGTGTCAAATTGACAAAACAACAACAACAACAACAAAAGACAACAACAAAAAACCCAACCCAAACAAACAAACAAAATCCCAAAACCCTAACTAGCACACGGCATTTCCTGTGTGTAAAAAATGCCTGGATGGGACCCCGCCCCCCTCTGTCCCCCTACCCCCCTTCTCTCTCTACTTTGAGCAAGCAGAGACGCTGGGGCCATCCCTGACTAGGAGCTCTTGACCCTGAAGGTGTTACCATTTGGATATCAGGGACAGCTGGAGAGGTTTCTGGCCCCAGCTACCTGGGAAGAACAAAGGAAGTCCGGCCATCGTTTCTGAGGTGCCTTCTTTTCAGGAAGGCTTCCAGGCCCCCAGTTAACTCAGCAGAGCTGACCACAGCTCTGGCTTTCAGCTCACAGCACCCCTGGGGACAGACAGATTTCCTGAACTACAGACCTCGGTAGCACAATCCCCTTTTTACATACTTCCTCTCAGACATCCCACAATACCCCTGAGAACAGACCTGCTACCCCTTTTAGGGGTAAGGAGTAGCTTGCAGATGTGGTGAGATAACCAGGGTTGCCCACAGAGTGTATCTTGTTTTACCACACAGGTCCAAAGTGCCTGAGAGACCTCCGGTGAAGACCTGGACTCACCCCACAGCTTGCAAACACGCCACGCTAAGCTCAGCTTAGACCAGATGATCCCTAAGTGTCTGTGGCCGAGTGGGAAAGAATGAATGCTTTTTGAGCCTACTGAGTTCTCAACATGCATGGCAGCCTACTGATGCCATCGCGACCTCCTCAGAGCCAAAGCAGCTATTCTGGGATGCTGGAGCTGGCGTCCAACACTTCCTTTTCCCTCCTTGTGACCTAAGTGTACAGGCAGTCCTTGGGTGTGCAGAGCCATAATTGACCTCTCTTTCCCTAGTATCACGGGTCCAGGTCCTCCATCTCTCATCAGAGACAAGAGCCTTGGGCCCATCCCTTCCCCAAGGATGGCAGCGCAGGGACGTCAGGCTATACGGGCTTATGTATCTCAAATGAGCGATACACAGAACTCCAGTTACAGAGATATATAGGAGTTTTTGTTCTGTGAGTGAGTGTCTGTGATGAGGCTGAAATGGAAAAGTGTCAATGAAAATTTAGCACAAATATATTTTCTTTAGAGTGGAAATTACAAATAAACAACACAATCCCCAAGAGTCTTATCTCTGCTCCAACTGAAGTGGTTTTTAATTTTTTATTGTTTTTATTTACTTACATATGTGTTTCTGTGTAAGTGAATGCCACATGTGTGAATGCCTTTGGAGGCCAGAAAAGGGAATCAGATCTCTTGGGGCTGGAGTACAGGCAGTTGTGAGCTGCCCTAAGCAGGTGCTAAGGATTTGGGTCCCCTGGAAGAGAGGCAAATGCTGCTGAGCCATCCCTCCAGCCCTGAATTGATACACGCAAACCCCAAACAATTCAGCGACATGCTCCATAGTTGTAGGTCACTGAATATACAACAAATCAAATTTATTTCACAATAATATTAAATTCCATTCATTGATTCACATCATGTTGATCATATAGAAGAACATGCTCACACAGCAAGTTAAAGTACACTGAAATACATGACTGGACACTGTTCCAGAACCTACCAGAAACACAGACGGCTAGAATGGAGGGTTGACAGCACGGTGGCTCTGTCCACAGTCTCTCAAGTCATGAGCACTCTGGAGTTTTGTGAGCCCAGGGTCTTTGGTGCAAAACAGTTCTGGAGGGCAGGAAGGAGGGCTCTCTGTGCAACTTGTTAAGCTTCCAAGGTTCCTTACCTGCCTGTGCTAGCCCAAGTCCAAGTCCAAGCCTTGGTCTAGCCTACTGCCTTATTACTCTAGCCACATTCTGTCAGCCTTTTCAGCCCCTCCAGTCCGGCAGGCTTAAATTTCAGGTTCTTGGCCTATGGCATGCCAGTCCTTTTCCGTGCATGAGTGCCGTCTCTACCGTTAGATACTCACCTCTCTGTCCTCTACCCCTCTGAGATCTTGTCCTGAGACTGTGTGAAGATGGGCCCTCCCACTGAGAGGAAGTCAGGGTGCTGGGACCGCTCTGCTAGGGAAGTGGGGGAGGATTCGTACCTAGGTGGCCCTTCCTGTCTAGCTGCTTAGCTCACATGGGTTCTGCCTCATCCACAGGTGGGGGAAGGTCAAAGGAGAGGACCATTTTGAAGCCATGGAGTCCTCAAGGACAAAGGCGGGACATCTGCAGCAGAGGGCCAGGCACCAGTCTTTGCTGGGCAGCTGCTGGGAGCCAGGCTCTGGGTAAGGTTCTTCAGGGACGCTCCCTTTGAGGACTTACTTCCCTTTTCCTTCAGTACTAAGGAACCGGAGGCTTGAAGAAATATATTAACTTCCTCTGGCCGTTTAACTAGAAAGGAACCAAGCATGCCCAGCCTCCCCAGCATCTGAGACCCGGAAAAGGGGCTTGGAAGGGAAGCCAGACCAGGTCCTAGCGACGGACCACATATTAGTGCTGTTTTTCAAGGGATCTAGGGATCTTGGGAGAGAAAGCAAGAGAGTGTGTGTGCTCCGGATAGGCGTGGTAGAATAAGGAGATGGTATCTGAGGTCAGAAAAAAGGTCTCACCTGTCTTTCTCCAATCTATGCCTTAGAGAGACTGACCTCTAGACAGAGTCCCTGAGTTGTGGACAAACCAAAGATGCACCCAGCCTAGGACTTGGAAAGGAGGCCTAAACCAGTCCAAGGCTAACACCTTTCCTCAGGGCCACTGGCCCATCCCTCTCCCTCTGCTCAGAGAAATCTGTAAGGCTAGGCAGCCCGGCCTTTCTTTCTCTAATGTCGGTTTCCTCATCAGATCTTGGAGGCTCCAGATACAACTGGCCACATGTCCCTGGCCATGCAGGCCTACAGAGCAATCCCAACGCTGCCCAGGACAATTTGGTTCTCCACAGAGGGCAGATGCCCCGAGAGTGGTCCAGGAGAAACTGTGCACGGTCCTTTCCAGCCTGGTTCCTAATTGCACTAGGGCAGAGCTCCACTGAAAGTCATGATGGGGAGGCAGAGAAGGGAGCACAGGTCAGGACCAGCCTGTGCTGGCTGGTTGAAGGGCCTCTGGGGTGGCAGGCTGCTCTTCTCCGGCTTGTAGCAGGGTGACACTTCACACCTATAGGGCAGGGTAGTGTCAGAACAGGGCTCTGCAGGCCTTGGATGGGAGAGAAGAAACACCCTTCCCTGGGACCGCCTTTGCTTAGCAGAGCTGGCTCCCATTCTCACCTGACCACACTCTGTAGGATCTTTCTCTCATCCTGGTCTAGGCACACTGCAAAGGGGCAGCTGCTGGAGCCGATAATCTGCACCTTGTCCACTTTGATGTGGGATGTACTGATCTGGAAGGAAGCCCTAGTCAGGCCCCGGAGCCCTGGCCACACCTTTGCCAGCCCCGGGCACGTCCTGCCCCTAGAAGTGCCCATAGGAGCTGCCGGGGAGGGGCGTGGGACAGGACTGGCTGGCGGCTCTTGAGGGATGACCATCAGGTCAGACTGCCTCCTCTGCAGTCTCTGCCTCTGAGTGGGAAGGAATCAATGCACCGCCCCCTCCAACCCAGAGACCCCAGAGTTCCCTGATATGGCGCCCATACTGTCTCAGACTTGGTGAGCCTGACTAATGACCATCACACAAGCACGACCTTTTCATTTACATGCATCCTCCACATTCCACACCTGTGTACACCCCCCAACCACACCCCACACGTGCCTCTCCTTTCCCAGCCATCCCTTCACATGCAAGTTTCACCCTACTCCTGCTGGGGCTGTGTGTGGGCGGTGAGAGAAGCCCTTACCTGGTTAAAGCCCTTTTTGGATTTAGGGTTCTGCCTTTTTAGCACTTCCGTCAGGGTTAGCGTCAGCGCCTCCATGCTGGGGTCTGAGGGTCAAGGGTGGCTCAGGCCAGGCTCAAGACCTCTCAGCCACCCCCTCTCCCCGCAGCCATCCTCTCCAGCCCCCTCACCTAGCTCCTCTGGCTTCCGGCAGGCCTTGTTGAGGTTGACAGAGGTACAGACCTTCTCTAGGTTGCTCCAGCGGCTTCGCCCACTGATGGCTCCCTGGAAGGCAGCATGGCTAGACCCTTCAGCCCAGAGCCCCAGAGTCTGATGCCTTGGGAGGGTGTGGATGCTAAAGGGCTACCTCTTGGCACCAAGGGAAGTCTGGGGGTCTACTTGCAGGCCTGAGACAGTAGGAACAGCTCTGGGTCGTCAGAGCTCTGGCGAGGAAGGAGCTCAGCACAGGCTTCACTTACCTTGCTGTAGATAATCTGTAGTGTTAAAGGAACAGCTTCCCGGTCATCATCAATGCCCAGCCGCTTGCTGCCTGGACCTGTGCCACACAGACACACTCTTCACTCCTTCTCCCTTCCAGTGTCCCTATGTCCCTGGGTACCCCCTTCCTCTGGCCTAGACTCTTCAGGGCCCCAACCCCCAGGGATAGGATTTCTTCTGCACCCCTCCCTCCTTTAGTCCTTCCCTGCTCTCCCTTTACAGGACCCCATCTCCCACCACTCCCCCTTTTTCTGACCCTACCTCCTAACCATCTCTATAAGGGTTCCCTCAGTGCCCACCTGAAGCCTTGATAGCACGTGTGGCCGCAGAGTGACCCAGTTCCAGAGACTGAATGAAGATCTCCGTAGTCTTCTCTCCAGTGACGAAAGTCAGCTGGAGGGGCAGGAGCGGAGCACATATGTCAGTATGGACCCCTTGGGCCAGCACAGGAGCTTCTTAGGGGTAAGGGTGGAGTGCTGCAGGCCCAGCTGGCCACAGGCTGGGGCCTGAACACCAGGAACACGGCTACCAGGAAGTCTGGGAGAAGCAGTCTCACCTCTGTCTGATAGACCTGCAGCAACACCGGGCGGGCCGCAAAGCGGCAGTAGTAGAGCAACATGTCAGCCAGGATGGGCAACTGGGTGGCCACGCCCTCCAGGGGCCGGGCTTCTGTCTTCAGGGACTGCTGCGGTAGATGGGACAGCCAAGTCAGGTGGGGGACATGGAGTGAAGGAAGCCACCAGAGGAAGGGAGGTAAGGACACACCGGGGCAGAGAGAGCAAGGGGAGAGAAAGGGAGAGGGAATCTGGAGGGCAGAGAGCCCAGTGTAGGCTTTGTGCTCCACCTTGCCTGGCACACAGACCTCCCGGGGGATAGCCAACAGAGAGGAAGGGAGCTGACACCTAAACTCTTTTGCGCCCTTCTGAGGATCTGCCCCTTTTACCACAGTGGCTCCAACTCTTGTCCCTATCATGCTGGGTTCAGTCTCGATTCTGCTTCTTACAGACCCTTCCTCTCCCTTCCCAAGCCAGCCCTGGCCCTCCATGGATTTCCCCAAAGCCAGAATCTTCAAAGTGAGACCGAATGACAGCAGTCAGTGGGCTCTGACCCCTACCACAGAGTCCACTTACCTGGCAAAGGACCTCAGGTGGCAGGTACATGAGGCCCAGCACATTGCGTTCATACCAGGGGTCAAGCACACCGAGGTAGTGAGAGATGTCATTAGTACTGTCCTCCCACGGGGTCATGCTGAGCTCCTGGTTAAAGGGCCAAGAGTTATCCCTAGCCACATAGAAGACCAAGCCATCATAGCTATGGAGCACAGGATTCTATCTGTAACCCCAAACTGAGCATCTCTCTGTCTCTAGAGGATCACGATGGCATTCCACTTTTGTCGTACAACAGAATGGCATACCCAAGTGCAGGGCAGAAACCTGGAAACAAGGGCCAGGCACAGGAAGTGCTCACAGAGACGGGATCATTTTGGATGGTTTTTTTAAACCACTACCTGGAACCTGCTCTTGTCTATCCCATTTTCCCATCCCATTTGGCCCAAGGCTGGGAACATACTGCAGGGCTGGGGTGCTTCAAGGAGTCTGCAGGGGGTGGAGATGTCTGGCTCAGAGAGGATGGGCAGGTACCAGAGCTTGTTCCGTGGCTGCGCTTCACAGGCACATAGAAGAACTGAAGCTTGAAGAACCGTGTGAGGAGCGGGTGACTGTTCTCCAGCCTCCTAGTGAGGAGACAGTAGGAGGTGAACCATGGTGACTCCGTAGTCCCCCAGCACCCCAATCACGCTGCTGCATAAGCCAGAGCCATGGCACCCTGTCCCCGTCCTTACCTGAGCTTGCTGTAAGCCCGAGCCACCTTCCCTGAAATTCGATCAGAACCAAAGACCACAACCCGTAGTGTGGAAGCCTTGGGGTCCTCATCCCCACTGAGGAAGGGGCGGCGGCGCTGGTGGTGTGAGGGTGGGGCCTGAAGCCAGCTGGGTAGTTGGGTGCTGAGCTTGGGCTGGGGTAGGGAGCGGGAGCGCTGGGCCCTGGAGGGGAACTGGGCTGGACAGTCCAAGGGGCTGCAGAGGCTTCCTGCCCGCCGCAGGGGCAGGGTTGGGTCTGAGCTGCACTCCAGGCTCCGAGAGTCCCTCCGCAGGACCAGCTGGCTGGTGCTCTTTAAGAGTTTATAGATCCTGTTGAACTTACGGCCGGGTCTGCGGTGACCCTGGCGTTGCTGGCTACCAGTCTTCTTGGGCCACTCTGAGGAGATTTCCTCAGGGTCCTCCACGTAGCCACTGTCCACGCCATCCGAGAGGCCTGAGACAAAGGTGGTCAGCACCTGGCGGGATAGCACTGGCCCTGAGGCCTGAGAGGAGGTCAGCAACAGAGCGGAGTCATGAGACACCAGAGAACTGCCGGAGAGTAGAGAGTCCCTCTCAGCACAGGGCCTGTCGATCTCCAAGTCCTCCTCTTCCTCCTCTTCATCATCTCCCAGGATCCCCGGCTGCAGCAGTTCCTGCTCCTTGAGAAGGACTTCCTGTAGGATGTCTACAGAGAAGACGAAAGCAGTGTTTGGGTTGGTGTCTTTGAACCCTTGAGGAGGGCGATGGGCTCTGGAAGAGCCGGAGGTGTTTGGTCAGGGTTATGGTGTCCCCCACCCTCTAGGCTTATGGCCTGTGTAGTGGGGGGGGGGCAGAGGAATGTGAAGCATTCACAGGCGCAGGATCAGACAGACAGCTGGCGCTCTGGGACCAGTGCCCTGACTCCGGTTGTCCCTTACCAAAGCTGTCCTGGTTCCAACTGTAGGTGTAGCACCTGGCGACAGGGATGGGGATCGTGTGGAGTTTTCCAGGGTTTGCAGTGTCTGTAAGAGCAGGGAGGACAGGAAGAGGTGACTGGGAAGGGGCCTTGCAGAATGGCCAGCCCGGCCCCCTGGCCTTACAGAAGAGTGGGAACAGTACAGTTGGGGAGCCACAGAGCCGGATGGGCTGAGGCAGAATAAAAGCCGGGATACCTGATTCTCAGTGAGAGGGCCCTTCCTTAAAGAGTCATGGAAATAGCAAGCCCTTTCCTGACTCTGTGGGCACGGACAAGTCACAGGCTCTGAGCCTCACTTTACTGCCAGTCCAGGAAAACAGCAGAAACATTTTGAAAAGGTTTGCTTGAATGTTTTTGTTGTTTGTTTTGGCTTTTTTTTTTTTGAAGCAGGGTTTCTTTGTGTAGCCCTGGCTGTCCTGGAACTTGCCTCAATCTCCCATGTACTGAGATTACAGGTGTGTGCCACCATGCCAGGCCCCTTAAAAGGTTGAGTGGGGGACATGGTACCTGAAGCTGCCAAATGGTGCTCAGAATCTATGCTACCTGACTCTTGTAAGAGTGGCAGGGACACCGCTAACCTCCTTTAGAGTAAGATGTGACCTTGATGCTGGTGGCCCAGGGCCACGTGCAGAAGTAAAGAGAGCAGCCGGATGTCCTCCATGAGTTCTCTTCCTCTTGCTAACACGATGTCAACCCAGCCTTGTATCTGCCCACAGGAACTCTGCCTAGGGACCTGAGGAGCCCAGAAGCTGAGGAACCTGGCCACTGGAAGGCTCTGTGGGGCAGAGTCGCCAGGCCCGCTGGTGTGCACACTCTGGGTACCAGAATAGATGACGGGGAAGCGGACAGAGTTTTCCCCCAGCCCTCACCTAAGATGCCAGGGAAGCCAGCTTTTTCTCCCACTGCCTTCAGCTTAGTCCGGAGCCACCGTCGGGCCTCTGCTGCGTCCCCAATGCCAGATGCCAGCTCCTGGGCTTCCGTAGTCTCGGTGAAGATGTCCTCAAGCTCTTCTAGTGTCTTAGACTAAAAGTGCAGGAGGAGACCAGGTGTGTGCCCGGCCCATGGCCAGGCTACCCGACTCTCCCAGTTCCCAGTACCTGACCTAGGGCGGTAGTGAGCAAGCTGCTCCCAGCCTCCTCACCCTCCCGGTGCTTGGGTAGCAGGGAGCCAAGCCACCCTTGTCCCACTGCCTTTCTGTGTTCATCTTCTAAAGTCAGGAGAGTGGGAGGGATTCACACCTCTCATGCACACAGAGTGGATAAGGAATGTCCATACAACACAGCTAACTGGTCATAGAGCCAGGGAAAAAAAGACCTGTGTCCAAATCTTATCCCCATTCCCATGGCTTGGTGCCTTCTTCACCACAGATGCTGGGCACCAACACCCAGTTCAGTGCCCAGGGCACGGCCAGATTCTGGCCAGGACCCAGCAGTGTATCAGGACCAGCCCTGAAGTCACTGTCTAGCAGTGCCATTTGGAGTTATGGAGGTAGCATATCTTTTCTGTTTTCAAGACAGATTTTCTCTGTGTAGCCCTGGCTGTCCTGGAACTCACTCTGCAGACCAGGCTGGCCTCAAACTCACAGAGATCCGCCCGCCTCTGCCTCCCGAGGGTGGGATTAAAGGCGTGCGCCACCACTGCCCGGCTGAGGTAGCATATCTTCATTGCAAAACGCTTCTTCACAGACCCAGTTTCCCTGGTCCTTACCTGCAGTTTGTGGTGCAGGCTCGGAAGGTCACAGTGGGTCCCAAATGTGGCCTGGAAAGCATGCAGGAGCAGGGTGACGTAGGCGCCGTGTGGTGACTGTCCAGGTGCACTCAGCTTGTCCGCCACAGCGAGGAATTCAGCCTGCACCTCAACCGGGTTCAGCAACAGCACCGTGCTGGGGACACAGAGGGTAGGCTATGGCGCTGCTGCACCCTCCATGCCTGTGGGGCTCAGTTCCACTCAGGACTCCTCACAGGGCAGTGACAGCAGCTGCCTGGAAGGGGCTGGGGACATTGCGTGCCCATTTCCATGGGGAATGCTTATGATTATACTGGGGTGTTTTGCAGGTGGTGTTTTCAAAGACTCTTCTTTTAGAACTGGACTTGAGGGGCCCGAGAGAAAGCTTAGCAGTTAGTCGTGTATAGTACTCCTGCAGAGAACCTGCGTTCCCAGCATCCATAAGGCAGCTCACAACAATCTATAGCCCAGCTCCAGGGGATTGGACACTTCTGACCTCTGCAGGCACCTGCACAAACACACCTATATCCCCCCACACATACAGATCCACAAATAATTAAAAATAAATAGCTTTTTAAAATTTTTTTTTAAAACTGAACTCAAAGAGCTCAGTTAATAATTATCTAGCATGCACAAAGCCCTGGATTCGATCCCCACATAAACTTGGTGCTGTGGTGCCTGGCTATAACACCAACACTTGTGAGGGAAGGTCAAGAGGGATTAGAAGTTCAAGGTCAACCTTGTCTACATACCAGTTTCTAGGTTAGCTGAGAATACAAGAGATTCTTCCTCAAAAACAAACAACAAAAAACCCAGAACTTTACATTTTTTTTCTAAGACATATGTATCTATTTATTATGTATACAATGTTCTGATTGTAGATGCCAGAAGAAGTCACCAGATCTCATTACAGATGGTTGTGAGCCACATATGGGTGCTGGGAATTGAACTCAGGACCTCTGGAAGAGCAGCCAGTGCTCTTAACCTCTGAGTCATCTCTCCAGTACCCCTTGAACTTTACTGCCTTGCACCTTAAGTTTTATTTAAGACAGGATTGTGCTGTGTTTTCCAGTCTGATCCATGACTCTCTGCCCTTAGTCTACTGTGCTGTCTTGATTTTTACAGCCATTTATTCCTATGGGAAACCGGAATGGATACAAGTTATTCATAAAAGGAATGGTTTGAAGCCAGGTGATTTGAAGTTCAGTGATGGTTTTTCACGGGAGAGAAAGCAGGCGTGCCATGGATTGTCATTTAATGTGACCTGGGGTGACATCTGCCCAGAGGCAGGAAGGGTGTCAAGTCAGGCCTGCCTCTGAATCCTCTACTCCTGGGGGCACTTTCCAAACCAGCCCAGAGGAATCAGGCCTAGCTTGGGGCTGGGAGAGTTAAGTTCTGGGCCACCTCTCCTTCCTAGCAGGACATCTGGGACCCTTGTGGTGTCAATGTTCAAATGTCTTTGTTATGGAAACTTTCAAACACATTCAAATATTAAGAGAATCATGGAAACTTTCTCATTTCTTTGTGGGTTTCAGAACCTCATAGTGTTAACCCACAAAGGGTGTAGCAGAAATGGTCTGGACCTGCTCTCACTCACAATCCCACAATGCACCAAACTCCAGGGCAAAGAGGCACCAACCAGACAGGGTTCCTGCCAGACTCTAAAGGTGTCTGTCCTGGAGGGAGAGGAGCAGGTCAGAGCACAAAGACAGACAGGCCCTATCCATCAGAGAGACTATTTTTTTGTTTTTTGTTTGCTTGTTTGTTTTAGTATCTCTACTCAGAATTAAAATGAGGTAGGCTCCATGAACAGTGTCCGGCTGAGGCCCCGCTGAACACATGGTCATTCCTTTCACAGATACGTGCGGAGCCCCACTGTATGCAGGACAAGGATAATGAGCCCCTGCCCTGTCCAGCTTGATTGTCCTCATAGACAACGAGAATGAGAACGAATGTTCCCTAAACCTAAGCTTTTCCTAGTAACTTTGGTGCTTCAGTTCCCTTATGGGAGAAGGCCTTTCTCACAGGGTTCATATGAGGCCTATATGTATATATGGATACTTATGAATTGTTTATTTCTGGAACTTTTCATTTTATATATATGGAGCATGGTTGGCTCATGGTACTGCTGAAGGGCTGGAGAGATGGCTCAGTGGTTAAGAGCCCTGTTTGCTCTTCAAGAGACCCAGGTTCGATTCCCGGTACCCACATGGTGCCTAATAACCATTTGTAATCCAGTCTTGGGGATCTGACACCCTCCTCTGACCTCTGCAGGCACCAGCTGTACACATGGGACACAGATATACATGCAGGCAAAACACCCATACACATAAAATAAAAACAAAAATGTTAATTTAGCAAGAGAATAATGCTCAGCGTTCCAGTACATAATGACAAGGTATTGGTGGTTATTCATTAGTCTACCTCTTCGGGTCTCAGGAAATACCTTATTTACTTACTCAACTATTGCACACAGCTCTCCTTACCCAAGGCCTTAGTTGCCTGCAGCCAACCGTGCTCCAAACATATAAAATGAAAAAGTCCAGAAATAAACAATTCTTAAATTTAAACCTCAGGCAGTCGAGTTCCACTCACTGGAGACCCGAATCTTCCTTCTGCCTGGAATATCCACCCTACACACAGTGTGCCCATTAGTCATTAAGTAGTCTCAGTGACCAGAGAGACACTCAAGGCACCGCAGGGGTTGTGTTCAAGTGATCCTTATTCTTTTTAATAATTTTACCGAGGCACACGCTGGCATTTGAGATATGCCAAAGAAACACTGAAAGTTCTTGTAAGTGAAGGTTCTTGGCATGTAGAGAGAGGACTTCATACTGTCCATGACTACAGGCACCTACCCGATGGCTAGGACCGGAATCACTGCAGGTAAGGGACTAACTGCCTAAACTTCCTATTTTTTCTGTTTCTCAGAATCCACCACGGGCTTTTTGTTGGCTCATTTTTTAACTTAGTAGTATTTCAAGTGCCTAGAGAGAGAGAGGTTGATCCTGGATTCCTGGGTTTCTGACACATCATAGTTAAGGCAGCATGGCTCAGCTGTTAAGAGCAGTGGCAGCTCTTCCAGAGGTCCTGAGTTCAATTCCCAGCAATCGCATGGTGGCTCACAACCATCCATAATGAGATCTGGTGCCCTCTTTGGCCCGTAGGCATACGTGCAGGCAGAACACTGTATACATAATAGATAAATCTCTAGAGAAAGGATGAGACCATGAGCGGGTCCTCAGCCTGGCTCTGTTCTCTAGTGTTTTTCCAGCTGCACACCCGACAGGGCCAGATGTGATGGCTCCTCTAGAAATCTCAGCACTCAGCAAACTGAGGCAGGGAACTGACACAAATTGCAGGCCAGATGGGGTTGCATAGTAAGCGCTAGGCTAGCCTGAGCTACAGTGTAAGACCCAGTCTCAAAAGTCATTCAAAACCAACACACACACACACACACACACACACACACACACACACACACACACACACACACACACACTGCAGTCCAGGACTCAGAGGTGGAGACAGCGTCAGCCTGTGGAGGTCAAATCAGGTCTTGTTATTTAAATGGAATAGAACAAAGCTGATCACACCTGCTGATTCCTGTCTGCACTTGAGATGTGAAGGCAGGGACCAAGAGTTCAACGCTGGAGTCTGTTACATAGTAACTCTGGGGTCATAATTAAATAAGTAAGTAAGTTAGGACAGCACAGAACCCAGTATGTGTGATAGGGTTGAACATCACTGTGCTCTCTCTCCCCAACCCTGTGCCAGGCTGTCAAACAATTTTTTTTTAATTTTAAAATAGGTCTCACTATGTAGTTCAGGCTGGCCTTTAACTTACTGTGGGAATTGCAGGTGTGTGACACCAGGCCTGGTGTAAAGTGTACTTTTTAGTATGAATGCAGATCAAGAAGAACGTGGAGAGCACTGTTTTAGTGACAGGAGAAAGACCACCATGGGAAACATTCTTGAGTACAGCCGAGTCAAACCCTGACTCAGACACTAGCTGTGTGATCTCAGGGAAACTACTTGGCCTCTGCGGCCTCCAGTCTATCTGCCTGAAAACTAGAGATGAAGAGTGTGATATGTGCTGGCTCCCTTTTAGAATCTGAAGGAAGAATACTGGAGAGATGGCTCAGCGACTAAGACTGCTGGCTGCTCTTACAAAGGACCCAGGTTCGATTCCCACCCAGCCATGTACAACCATAACTCTGGTCCCAGAAGATCTGATACCTTTTTCTGGCCTCTGTGGGCACAGATACACATGCAGACAAAACACTCATAAATATTTTTAAAAATCAATCTGAAGGAAGACCCTAAGCCCAGATAAAGGAATTGCGGTATAAAACACCACCACAGACATGGCAGTTGCTGGGGTCCCTTGTTGGTTGGTGACTGGAATGTGCAGTAATGGGTGAGTCCTGGATGCAGGGGGATGGCAAAGAGTAGAAGGCCCGTGCCCTGGTTCTCCCTCCCCCAAGAACACTCACACAGTGGAACTTCGGTGGCTCCTGATGGGCAGGCCCTGCTCAGCCCTCACCAGCCGTTGGTAGGAGATCCCTGTGAACCAACAAACATCATAGAGGAGAAGGTAGAAGGTTTAAATCCCCCCGCAGTTGTCCTGGGCCTCCCTGCAAGCCCGGTTCTGGACAGTCGGGCTGGGAGTGGCCCAGGAGGCTCCAGAGAAGCTTTAGAAGACAGCTGATGTCTGGCCCTTGGGCAAGTGCTTTGCTTCTGTGGACTAGTGACTCCAGATGTAACACACCCTGTGACCTCAGCCTCCACACCGAAGCCTCTAGAGACTCTCCGGCTGCCCTCGGTCCCTTCTTGACCACTTTGTCCGGGCCCCAGCCCCAGACTGAGAACAGACAGCGGGAGAGAAAGGGATGTAAGGTTAGAGCCCTCGTTATTGAGACTCCTCCCCCTGGCCTTGGGCAGACAGTCGTTGGACCCTGGTCCTCAGTTCCCCCTGAAGAGACAGCGAGGGGGACACCTCTGTAGCTGCTCATCGCTGAGTCCCAGGCCTATTTGAGGTGCACTAGCTTGGCCTTTCTGAGAGGCAGAACTTCACGGGAGGGAGAACTCAGGCCCAGGAGGCTGCAAAGTAGTTCCTAGATGAGTGCACAGTGTCGCTCACGCCAGGTGTCTTCCTGAAGCGGGGAGGATGTGTGCATCAGGCACCCATCAGCCTCCACACTCAGCCTCACATTAGCCAGGCAGCACCCTCTGCCCTCCTCTTCTCTGCCTGGCTTCCCATACCACCCTGAGGACCCAGGTCTTGCTCAGCGCCTGCCCAGTGTCCGCTTTTTCTGAAGCCCAGTCCCCATCATAGCCTGCCTCCCTTCCTCCCATGTGACTTCAAACACCCCCAAAGGAAACAATATCCAGAAATAGTCACAAAGAAGTCCCTGTTGGGCCCAGGGCACTCCTAGCTGGGACTGAGCTGAGGAGTGGAAGGGAATTCCCCTTGGATGCAGGAAAGCCAAGAGAGCTATAAACAAACACAAAGGCCGTGGGTTTTGTTTAGTAAATGACAGGAAATTACCAATCCGTGCTCTTCTAACTTGGGACCTAATTGCTTTAATTGTTGGCCTTTTGTCTGATGTTTGGTTTCTGTAATTGTCACAGATGTCAAGGTTAGGTCTACTTAGCATCCTTAAAACTGGCTTCTATTCAATCCTTAGAGTCTAAGGATTTGGGCTGCCATCTAGTGGCCATTCATATACATTGCAAAGATAAATTCAACTCTGCCATACAGCATAGACCAATGTTGTTCTTGACTGCTGTGCACACAGACAAGCAAACGAGCAAGTCTTCTGTCGACATTATTTCCGTGTGTGTGTGTGTGTGTTTGTGTGTGTATGTGTGCATGCATGTCTGCATGTTTATGGGTCCCATAAGTACATAAGTACATATGAATGTGCATGAACTTGTGGGGGCCAGAAGTCGGCATAGGGTGTCTTACTCAGTTGCTCTCCACCTTATAAACAGAGGCAGAGTCTCTCACTTGAACCCAGAGCTTGCTAGTTCTGCTATATAGCTAGCCAACTTGCCTTAGGGATCCCCTGGGTTTGCCCCCCACGCACTAGGGTTACAGGTAGGCTGTCAGTCCCGCCTAGAGGTCACAATGTGCTGGGAGGCAAAACTCAGGTATCCATGCTTGCTTGGCAAGTGCTTTACACATAGAACAAGCCCTTCAATGCCTTTTTGTTGTTGTTGTTTTTCGAGACAGGGTTTCTCTGTATTGTTTTGGAGCCTGTTCTGGAACTCGCTCTGTACACAAAGCTGGCCTGGAACTCACAGAGATCCACCTGCCTCTGCCTCCCCAGTGCTGGGATTAAAGGTGTGCGCCACCAACGCCCTGCTCCTTCAATGCCTTTTAAGTGAGCAGTCCACTCACTAGGGGCTCCTCATCCTTACTCCCGGTTCTCTCTCTGTTGACATAGGATAGACAGCCAGTCACACCCCAAGCCATAAAGTCCCCATCCCTGAATATAAGTTCCCCCAAACGTCAGGCTGTGGACTTCTGAGTGCATTGCACCCCACACCAAGTGTCTGCCCTGACCCCAAGCCCAACTGCCCAGCCTCTCTATTTTCCTTGTGTATGTGCCTCTGGACTCCTGGACATTGTTGGCAACTGCAGTCCCTGCAGTCACTCTGCTTCTCCTGTGGAATCCATGATGAGGACCACCCTCTATCATGCTTCTCCTGTGACATCCATGATGAGGACCACCCTCTATCATGCGTCTCCTCTATGTTCATGTTATGGATATTTCGATCACTTCATCTCAGGGCTGGGGTGCACTTGGGGGGGCTGCTTCCTATGTACTTCTCTGCTTTACTGTGTAGCGCCATCAGGGGACTATTTGGGAAGACACTGGTACCTCCTGGCACATGCTGACCCAGAGAAAGCTGTGTTCTGAGCTAATAGCCTGTCTGAATAGTCAAGACACCCACAGTTCCAAGCAGAAACACAACCATTTGATAAAACTACCAAACCCCAACCCGAAGGCACATCTCAGTGCCCTCTGACCTCTCTTGGTGATGGCCTCCACTGTTTATGGGTGCACTGGTGGGCTAGGGCCAAAGCTGGGAACACACTAAAGCACAGTGTTTACACAAAGACAGGAGCAGCTGGGTCTTCCAGGGATCGGGGCACCTGTCTTGATGTCCAGAAAATGGGAGAGGGCTTCAGCATGACTTTTGGAATTAAGTAGATGTAGGATCCCAAGTGGAGCACTTGCTAGTGTGTGAGCGTGGATAAGCTGCTTGCTGCCTGGCTCCTGTTTCATCATCCAAACAATGATGATGTACTTGTAAACAACGCAGTAACGAATGGTTACCACACCGAGGGCTGTTCTGAGGATACGTGGGACTGCACTCATCCTGTTGGACACACTGTGAGCACACAGTAGTGACATCACTGTCATCATCAACAGTAGAAGTTCTGCTTTGATGGGGGAGACTCGAGGTTAAGCAGCCTGTCCAGGGTCATTAGTTAATATGCACCAATACAGAGGTCCCTGTCACCCTGAGGACATATTCCTTCTCTCACGTGACTGTATAGCGTGGACGGGGAAAGTGAATTTCTCACATATGCATATGTTGGGAATGCTACATCATTTCCTCACCCAATAGAACTGTATGTGACCTGGTGAGACATAATCCTCGAGGTTTGCATGCTTTGAAAGTCGCTGAATGCCTCACATGGAAAGTGCCGATGTCACCAGCTAGGATTCCAGATCAGTCCTTGGCAGGCAAGTATGATATTCTGCATCACTGTGTTAGCAAGGAGTCAATGCTCAATGAACACCTAGGCTGAAGCCTAAAGGACTGTACTTGCTGCCATGGTTGGCACCATTGGGGGTGAGTCAGAAAAAAGGGAGGTCCTACTTTGATAACCACCCACTTCCTCCATATATATGGAGACTATGAACTGCTGTCTCCATAGCAACTAAGACTCAACTGGGGAAGGGCCCAGTTCCCTAGGTCCCTCATCATCTCTCTTTATGACCTTGGCAAGACCTGTCTCTGAAGTGACCAGCATTCAGATGCTTAGTGCCTCCTGCAAGATGAATGGAGCAGCGCTTCACAGACTGCCCCGGGAGACAGGCAGCACTGTGCACCTATTGTTCAGATGGGGAAACTGAGGCAAGACGTAAGCTCTACATCTTGCCAAAGGGCCTAGCAGCTAGACAGCAGCAGACTCTGCGCCAGGAATCACAGAGGTCTGGTACCAAGTCCAAGCACCCACAGAGATACAAGTCTCTCCTTCGGGGGCTCAAGCTCCCCAGGCTCCACCCCTGTCTTCTCATACCGCCTCCCTTGGCCAGGCTCACTGAGGATGGGAGGGGCACGTGCAGAAATAAGTAGCATCAAAAATCACACTAAGACATTTTCTAACAAGCCTACCTCCAGTCACACCATGCCTAGATACTCTCCCGCCTTTCTTGAAGCCACTTCCACTACCTTGATATTGGCTCAGCAGCAAATGTACTCTCATTTTGATACAGGCTCAGTATGTAACTGTGAGAGCTTTTGAGCTGTTAGACACGATTCTCCAGCACCGGGAGAGGCCATGGTTTCCTATTTCACTTCAGCTTGCCCTCACAGACGGATGGGCAGCTCTGTGCAAGCTTCCTGCTCCTGGCATCTGACTTCTTCCAAGTCCTTAATGTGTATGTCTGAGATCTCTCAGTGTGGGGAAACACCAAGGGCTCTCAGCAACGAGTGGCCACTTTGGGATCCACCCTGCTTTGAGGCAAAGGGCCCACCCTCCATTTCCACCACCAATGGCTGCTCTGCCTGGCTCTTGACTCCCAAGCTTAGCATTCTTTTTTTCCAGGGCCATGGCCTCACCTCCACCTGCCTCTCCACATCTGTTTGCTGGGCAGATGAGAACAGCGCTCCTGACCAACAACCCACAAAAGCATCTCAAGGCATAGCAAGCATCCAGCTAAGGCTGGCCAGGTGGTTCTGCTTAAAAGTGAGACGCAGTCTCCCCAGCGATCTGCCCTCCCTTTGTGCAACATCTCCCTGGACCATTTCAAATAAAGGAGCTATTCAGTTCTCTGGTGTGTGTAGAGGCCCTGGAAAGGCATTTGAATCTTAAACCCTTTCTCTTGAAACTGCAAAAGAAAAGAGAAGTTTTGCCTCCTGGAGAGGGCCCCCAGTCAACAGCCAGAAGCCAAGACAGGTCCGTGACAGAGACCTTATGCTAATCACTCACATTTAGTATCCTGTGTTAAGTTGGGTCAGCAGACCATCTACTGAGGGTAGCCTGTAGTCTCTTTCCAAGAGCAGTAACTTCTCGGGGACTTAGATCTCTTAATTCTCCACCCAAGTCCCTACTGTGTGGAAAGAACCATCTTATAGGAAGATTTGGGGTTCACTAGCTCCACACACCATCTGCTCTGTTTACTTGTGTTGACTGGTTGTGGGGAAAGAGACGGCAAAAGTCAAGGAGCAGAGAGATCAGAGAAGTGAGCCATGGGCCCTTACGAAGGAAGTCACAAGCAAAATTTCAGACCTAACTTTTCAGCACCCCTGAGCCGGGGTATAGACTGTGATGCTCCCGTCAGCTTACTGTGTATTACTGCAGTAAAACACTGCTGACTAACCACCTGGAGTGGGTAAACATTTCAGTGGAAAAGCAAGGGGACAACAAGGCACAATGAGTTGGGGGTGGCTTTTCCACTTAACTAGTTAATCAACATCTTTTTGATATAAGTTGCTGCTTTTAAGTATCATTTTAAAAAGATTTAATTTTACTTTTCTATTGTGTGCATCCAGTGTCTGTGTGGGAAAGTGCATATGTGGGTGTAGGTGCTCTGGGAGGCCAGAAGAGGGCGACAGATCCCCTGGAATGTGAGTTAAAGCAACTGTGAGGGGCCCCATGTGCGTTCTGGGAACTAAATGCAGAGCCTCTGCAAGAGTGGTGCTTGTTCTTAATTGCAGAGCCATCTCTCCAGTCTCCATCTTAGAAAACTGAATTGCCTCCAGAGTCCAGGATGTTCTCCTACTGAGTGGGGCTGGCAATAATCTGTTTCTTCTCTTGATGTGGGCTACTCATCCGGGTGATTGTCTCCTACTTGGATAAGCAAATAGGTGCTATAAAATTAAAATGTTACCTCTTCCAGATGAAGACCTATTTTTTATTTCTTTTTTGCATAGGCAAAATACATATAAGGAAAACCAGAAAGACGCTCAAGTTTAATGGAAATGCTTGTAGCAGCTCACCTGGCCTGTTGCCATATTAAAAATATATCTATGGTGATGGTTTCCATATACCAAGGGGTTTTTGAATATCAAGAGAGAGTGTTGAAGCTAAGCAAATGTTTTAGAGGCATCTATTGAGATGACTTCCCTGGAATGGAAACGTGATAAATAACTCTGGTATGGGGCCATCTCCCAGCAAATCAGACTTGGTTGTTTTTCCTCTGTCATGGTTTTCCTATGGTTCTCATCTTAAAACAGCATTTGCAGTGGTCAACGTGGCTCAGTAGGAAAGGGCGCTTGCCTCCAAGCCGGATGACCTGAATCCCGTGCCCGGGACACACATGACTCCCAGCTGTCCTGTGACCCTCATGTGTGCACCAAGGCGCACACGTTCACCGCCACCCCTACACAGAATAAATAAATGTGGCTTAAAACAGCATTCACAAATTCTCAAGAACTCTGACTTTTTAAATCCTAAATACGAAAGAACCTGGAAGCACAAAGTCCTTGTTCACACTTGTCAGGATGGCCACCAACCCCCCCCCTCCCAGCAGCAGGCACTGTCTCTGGGAAAGTCAGTCCTGCAACTGCCTATCTGCCTCCAGGGAAAAGAGAACAAATAAAAGCCTCTTGTCATTATTCTGGAGACTTCTCTGAGTGACCTGCACAGCCCTGGAGAGGCTTCCTGAACTCCTTAAATCACTTTCCACGTTAGCTGTTTTAACTTGTGCAAGCCTAACCATCGAACGATGGTTAAGTACACCATGGAGAAGGCACTGCCAGCCCCTTAGCAGGGTGTGGGTAAGGCTGAGGTGGACCACACGGGAAGAACTGTTCCAGAAAAGATAGCTATCCCAGTCACGTGATCCCTGGCCCCCTGGGTCCTCACCTGGAGCCTTGAGCTCGGCGTCAATGAAGGTGAGCAGCTCCTGGCAAATGCTGCAGTAGGGAACTGGCCAGGTCAGGAAGCAGTGGTAGGTGCTGGCTGCCTTCAGAAGGAGGTCTGAATCCGGTGGGAAATGTGGTGTCTAGGATGAACGGGTCGGTAAGAAGCGAGCTGGGTGAGGAAGAGTTCACTTATGTTCCAGAACAGCTTCTGCCCCCTCTCTGGCTATCCCACAGAGGACACACATCTCCTGGGAGCAGTGTGCCCCAGGACAGGATTAGAGAGAACTGAACAACAGATGGGCAAGATGGCACCCAGAGCGTCTCTATAGCAATGGGCTTTGTTTTCATCCAACACTGGAGGAAGGCTGTCAGCGCAGAGGTCATCATAAACAGTGCCCCTGTTTCTACTCACTTTGAGGAACCATCTTCAGTATCTGTGCTATTCATATGCAAATATCCTCATGAGAGGCAAATAGTTTTACTCTTTGGGTGGACTGAGTTCAGTGTACAAGCAGCCCTTTGGTTCACTGGTCTGGTGAAATCCAGGGCTGATCACAACAGGGAAAGCTGATCCCTCAGGTGAAAGAGGACCTACAAATCTCCCAATGTCATCTCTCACAACCATGCTATGACACAGTTCTCCATGGAAGCCCAGAGATGCCAGGCACCACACAACAGTCTGTAGTGACTAGAGACTTCCCGGGTGGTGGCAGGAAGGGACCTGAAGGTGGAAACCCATCTCAAGTGTCATCGCTCCCAAGTTTCTCTGTTTATCCTCAGAGCCGTGAGGCCCCGGATGGAGGCCACTCCTGGCTCTCCTCCCCCTCCTCCCTCTCCACCTGGACTTACACAGAGGACGGTGGAGTAGAAGAGCAGAGCCAGTGGGGCGAGGAGGTCATAGGTGCCTTTCTCTTGGACCTGTGGAGATGACAGGGAGGTCAAGTTCTCTCAGCAACCTGAGGCACACAGAACAGTTCACCATCTCTTCTCTGATGACCCCAGCAGACTAATTCAGACATGTCCTTCTCTCTCACAGCTGGCCCTCCACAAAACCCTCCCTTGCTGCTCCACGGCAGTGGGCCCTTTCCACGCGGTTTTGGGAATTGTGCTCTCCAGAGGGGGTGTGGCTGTTGAGTTGGTTTGCTTGTGATCAGCAAGCAAAGGCACCAAGTAAACCTGATACCAAGATGAAGACTGGGTGCTGCAATAAGTAACGGACATAAGTGATGGACTTTCTTCTAGGGATAACTGGCTAAGAGAGAAAAATCACCTTTACAACTCAGTCATGAATTTAAAAAAAGGCAAACAACTTAGAAGAGAATCTAGTAGCTAGAGTCTACTTTGGGGGCTTGGTCTGTTCTGGAACCTCAGCCCGGCTCAGCATTAAAAGCCTTCATTCACACTCCTCCGTCACAAAAGCCTGCACTCTGAGCTGTCAGAGGAGGCCTCAGCTTCCCTTCCTTGTCACTATTGCTATGGATCTTTCTGAGACAGGAGTTTAGTGAAGCTCCCCGACCCTTACCTCCTTCCAGGCCATACCTTGACTTACAAGCAACATCTATCCTAAGTAGCTTGGACTCGGGCCTTCACAACACCCGTTCCATGTTTACACTGGACAGAAAAACACCCTTCCTAGGAAGAGTCAGTGCACAAGTGTGGCTTCTGGCCTCCCAGGGTGGAGCAAGCCATCCAGGTGGTCCACGAGCCTCAGAGCTGACCTACATTGTGACTCTACAAAGTCAGCCCTAACTGTGATCAGCAACGTCTCAGTCACCCTCACCTCTCGGGTCTTCTGTAGGATCTGTTCCAGGAGGATGAGGAAGTGGCCCGGGTCCCTGCTGACCAGCTCCTGTAGGCTCCAGCAGTTCAGACACAGCCCAGCTAGACAGGGGACAAGTTAGGCTACTGGTTAGTTTTGCTCTCTCTGGCTAGCCACAGGCTAGAAGGGGATTTATTCTGGAACCCTGCTGTGGGAGAATATACCTGAGTATTTCTTTCTAAAGAGAGTCTTGGAGAAATGCCATCATTAAAAGCCCCGAAGCTCCATCAGGACATAACGAAGCCAGGCCTGTAACTCCAGTGTTGGGGAAGCTAAGGCAGTTGGATCATGAGTTCAGGGGCACTGTAGGCTACACAGTTTAAGGCTAGCCTGGGCTGTATAGTGAGCCACACTGAATAGCAACTACAATGAAGACAGCAAAACAAAAAGTCCACAAGACATAATGGCCTGTTTCTCACTCCCATACCTGCAGGAGCTCCCTAGGCCTGGGGGCTGCTGATCTGACCTAGAATCCCTCAGAGGCCAAAGAACCTGCTGATTCTTGCTCTGGCGCTTTGGGTGGTCCCACCGTCACTCTCGCCCAGATTTCCTATGGTGGGTGCCAACTCCTACCAGAGGCAAGGAAGTTGGGCCAGAGGTAGAAATTGCTAAGAGAAGAAAGACAGGAGCCATGAGGAGCTCCACCCCAGACCCAAGGAGACTGTGACACTCACAACAGTCACGGGGCTTCCCAAGGCTGCTTGGTGGCAGAGACCATGAAGGGGAAGCTTAATTCACTAAGTTGAAAAGCTCCAAACACTTGTCACCGTGACTTCCCCAGACTTTCTTAATGTGTTGGTCTCTGTTTCCCTGAAGTCAGCAAGGGCAAACCCCTAAAAGTTAAAGAGGTGACCACAGGGATGGGGTTGCACCAGTGGGGTAGAGAGTGAGTGCAGCAGGGCTGGAAGGTGACCTTCACGTGGCTGGGGGTCCTTGCCTGTGGACATGCCGTGTGAGTGCCTTTCAAACCCCTGGAAGCCTCTGGGAGTACATCCATGTGCCTATAGATTTTGTTTTCTTTTAAAACCTGAAAAGGGCTGGGGCTGTAGCTCAGTGGTAGAGCACTTGTCTAGCATGTGTGAGACATTAGGTTCCACACCCAGTACTGCAGGAAAAAGAGGGGGGAAACCAACAACAGAAAAAGAACAGCCTTGCAGAAATCAGACATTTCCATACTTGTTAATTTAATTATGCTTAACCCCCAACTCTATGTGAACTTTGGTTCCATCAAAACCAGGGAAGGAAGGAAGAAGGAAACGCATCATTTACTGACCATCTACTATGTGCTAGTATGGTGCTAGACCTTTGCATACATTCTCTCTGCCCATGTTCCCATCTTGTAGTCCTTATTATGCCCATTGTATCCAGACAAGAAATTGGGGTCCCACAGGGGCTAGTGGAATGTACATGGTTGTACAGTCAGTGAGAGTTAATCCAAATTTATCTAATTCCAAAGGACAGAGAAAGCTGTCCACAGAGGTGACATCTGAGCCGAGACCAGCTTGGGAAGGGGCCAGTTTCCAAGGAAGAGATCCAGGCAGCAAGCACAAAGGCCCTAAGGCAGGAAGGAAGCAGGTGTGCTCAAGGAGCAGTGGCTGTCTACCTCGGAGCAGGGAGCCAAGTGACACGGCGTGCAAGGAGACCTTCGGCAGCACAGGGCATCCTCAGGCAGCCTCATAACGAGGCTCCAGACTCCAGGGACACAACTACCTCAGCCTGCAGGTGCCCTGCAGCCTAGCTGAGATTCACTATTTAAGGAAGAGCAGAGTAGGGCTGTAGAAAGAACCAGAAATAAGCAAACAGTGTCCGGGGAGAGCTGTCTGCAGTCCCAGTTGCTCGTTTGGAGATAGTGGCTGTTTCTAACAGGTTTCATTCCGTGTGTCTACAGATGCTAAGGAAACAGAGGTGGAGGAGGAAGAAGAGGAAAATTCTGTGAGAGAAGCCTGGGAGCCTCATATGGAGGACTTTAAACAAGGGCTATGCCTGCCTCCTGCCTAGGTGAGGTCTGGAGACTTGCTCACCTGGCACACAGGGATGGAAGCAGAATCTACTGGCTACCACACCTAGCCTCTGAGGCTTCATTCAGTTCTGGAATGTCCCCCAGTTCCCAGACCTACCTGACCAGGGTGCAGAACGGCGTCCGAGGCTCAGTCCATGCAGGCATCGCTCCAGGGCATGCTGGATGCGGTCCTCGGTGCACGTTGTGGCTGCTGGTTGCATCCTGAGTCATTGCCTGTATGGGGGACAAACACCCGTCAGCTTGTTGGGCTCCCTTCCAGGAGAACATCAGGCTAGGAGAGCTCTCACCCAGCAGGGCAGTGGTAAAAGTGGCAGGTGCTCACGGTGCACTTGGGTCCTGTGGGCACCGTGCAAGGAAGCTTCCAGATGCCTACAGGGAGGGGGCCAGCTTCCAGCAGTCTCATTTGTGCATCAGGAGCGATCACCCCTGTGACAGAAAAGCATGGAGGTGGAGGAAAAGAGGGTCCCAGGATGGGAACCCAGGGGGACACGGGACATGCCTGCTCACCAGGCAGTAGGGAGTGTTGCCAAGTACCCAGAAAAATGCCCAGAGATGTCCAGAGAGTGGCTAGACCTCAGACATCAGGGCAGGGGACCTCCAGGTGGGAATCAAAACCATGTGGGAGTTTTCTTATGAATTTCCAGACATGAGTGCCCTCACCCTGCAGGGTATCCCCCCACCTGCTGGACACCCCAACACCAGTGTTAGGGCTAGAACAAGGGTAGAGTTCTGTCCTCAAACATCTCCACCCCCATCCCATAAAACTCCCCTCAGGGACCTAGTTACTTCCCTCCTTAACCTCTTATTTAGCCTAGCCCCCTTCTGCATTTTCCATAGACCCAGTGGGCTCAGCTAGAAGGCTGTAAGGAGGGGAATTCAGAAAGTATTTTAACACCAGGGGGGAACTGAGAGCCTCCAATAGGGCCAACCCCATGTGTCTTGGTTTTGGGGAGTGCTCCCCGGGTTCTTCAGAAGCCATGGAAGGCAGCTTCATGCAGTGACTAAGCCGGATTGTGGCATCCAACAGAGTGAGACCCAAACCGGACTCTGATTTTTGCTGGTCATGAGATTTGTGGCAAATGCCTGAGCTTTCCCCCAAACCTCAGTTTGCTCATCTGTAAAGTGGAGATGGTGATGGTACGGATGTCAAGAGGCTGCGGGGAGGGTGCAGCGCTCTGACTAAGCATCCATTGTGAGATCTGTATCATGTGATCATCACTGCCACATTTGCCTGCCCTCAGGGGTCTATTCCACTGCGGACACTGTCCATAGTCGGTCAGGCCTGGTCATCTGGGAAGCTGAAGGGTTGGAACAGTTCTGGGGATCTGAGGACCAACCAGGAAACCAGAAGAGGAAGCAGAACCACGGAACTGAGCCATGCAAATGACATGCAAAGAGGGATGAACTCAGCAGGTCCTTCTCTTTCCACAAGGGGTATCTGGAGGTTGGCATGGATAAGGCGCTTGCTCTAGGCCACCAGGAGCAGGCAGAGCTAGAGGGAATTCACACTGCTCTCAACAGCTCAGGAAGGGCAGGTAGGACTTCCCTTTCTCCATAGCTGTGGCTGACCCCCAACCCCAGGTGCAAAGTGCTGAATGTCCCACACTCTACGGTTCCATGGAGAGGTAGCTCAGCAGTTAAGAGCACTCGCTGCTCCTGCAGAGGATCCAAGTTCGGTTCCTAGCACCCATGCCAGCAGCTCACAGCCACCAGCTCCAGGGGTTCCAACACCTCTGGTCTCTTCAGCCACCTGCACTCACACACATGTAATGCAAAATTAAGTGAATCTTTAAAGTTTCATTAGCTACTTGGACAGGGGCTGCAACTCCCTTGGTGCTGTTTGCACGGACCTGGAACAGTAGTGTGTGCACTCACCACCATAAGGCTGCAAAGGGGACAAGGGTCGTTGACCATTCTGAAAGGCCCACATGCCCTCCAAAACCAAGGGCTTGAGGGATTTGAAGAGAATTCCTGAGTCTCCTACCAGGTGAAGTACCACCAAGTCAGGAGCATTGGCAGGGAGCAGGGAAGAGGCAGAAGCAACAGCTTGCAAGCCCACTGTTTGGGGGGGGTCTGGACATCAGGAAGTCTGTTGGGCTTAAGCAGAAGCTCATCCATCGTTGGGGTGGGGAATCCCAGCAGTAAAGGCTGAAAAACTGAACCAACTCTGCAGGACCAATAGTGGGGCAGGAGCAAAGGATAGGCAATTAGCAACACAGAGGAATAGAATAACTTGCCTGAGTTTACATAGCTAAGAGGTGGCAAAAGCCAGAATGCAAAACCATGGAGTCTAGGTTCCTAACCCTGTACACACTGTCCCTCTGCAAATAAGGTACAGAAAGAAAAGAAAGAAAGGAAAAGGAAGGAAGGAAGGGAGGGAGGGAGGGAGGGAGAAAGAGAGGGAGGGAAAGGGAAGGAAGGAGACCAATGCATGTCTCTACTCCAAGGGAAAACTTGGTAACCAGGATTTTGCTTGGCAAGGTTTACATTTCCAGACGCTGATGATCTGGAACCCTGCCATGCCTGTGTACATCAGCTGCCCAGTCCAGCCTGCCTCTTCCAGAAAATGGACACTCTTACTAGCCAGAGAGAGGACACCCTAAAGCATGGTGGCATACCGGGTCCTGCCTCTCTAGCCTGGGGGTTGGATAAAGCTATGTGAACTGGTCCTTAAATCACCCCTCTGGTCTTCCTGGGGTGATCAACGTGAGTCCCCTTTGTCTTATACCGTCTTGATGCAAATGTGAGACACAAGTGAGACTTTTCAGCCCCCACTTTCTCTGCATGTCCTTGTCCTTACAGACATCAGATCCCAGTATCCTGGTCTGTTGCTAGCAGCCTCCCCCTCCCCCACCCCGTGCCAACAGCTCCCCAGTACTGCTCCAGTGCCTGCTGACCTGTGGCTTCTTCACCCTTCTTCCTGTGGCCTCGGTGTTCCCTGGTTCTAAGGAGACAGCTAAGGTCTTCTCTCTGGAAGAGCCAGATGTCCTCATTGCCCAGGGCAAAGTTTCTGGTACTCTGGGCTCCCTGGCATATTGCAGTTATCTAAGTATTGGTCCAAGCTCTTAGGAGTCAGGACCCAGGGCTCCGAGGCTGCCAGAGCTGACTGCTTTCCCAAAGGACCAGATTTCAATTCCTGATACTCCCGTGGTAGCTCACAACCACCTGCATCTCCAGTTCCATGGAATCCAACAAACTCTTCTGGCCTCCCTGCACACCAGATACACACGTGGTGCACAGACAGATGTAGATGCTGACAAAACACCCATACACATAAAAATAAATGAATGAATTGTTTAAAGTTAGGACCTACTGGATGCTGGACCTGAGGAGCCTGAAGAAGACAACAGAAGTCCAGTGGAGGAGTCCCTCAGTGAACTACAGAGATGAGAGTAGGAGTGGACTCACTCAGAGCCTAGCGGTCATGTCAGCCCTTGTGCTCAACGTCTGGCCCTGCACGCTCAATTTGGCCTGATGTCTCAGTGACATCAGCCATTCTTTATGACTTGTGGGCAGAGCCCAATTGGCTCTGGGGAAGTGGTGACAGAAGACAGTAGGATGACAGACACATTTTTCAAGAGCTTGGAAAGCAAGACCTGGCTTGTTCAGTATCTGATGCCCAACGCTGGGATCCCTTCATTAAGAGGAGTCCCCATTGTAAAATTCCAGCTGATACCAGGCAGGCTTCCCTGATGGGCAGTGTTGAAACATTAAACAGGGGCCACTTCCATGTCCAAGCTCCTCTTCTGAGCCAGTGCAGAGGGCTGGTGACCTTATTGAGGACCTTGAAGACAGTAGGAAGGCTTACCCGGAGAGACAGTGGCAGCCTGAAGCAGGAGTCTGAAGCCAGACCATGGGTAGTTTCAGCAGCCTTTGCTCGGATGGGCGATCACACCCTCCCGCCAGCAGTGAGTCACCTCAGCTCTTTCCTCTAAGTTATTTTTGAATCACTTTTCTAATTTCTTCTAGAGTTACTGGAACAGGTTTTTGAATGTCTATTTTATGAATTCTGGTTTTCTGACATCATTCCTTTTTATCAAAATTTCAAAATGTCTTGGCAAGGACAGGAATTCCCAAGTCATTTTACAATGATTTCTGAGTCTGCAGTCTCTCCGTGCTGTGATATTGTCTAAGCATAGATTCAGACCTGTGTTAAACATTTTATGGCAGGTTACAGTTGCTGAAATAATTATGTTTCACATTTACGTTAGGCGTAGTAACCATGGTAACAGCATATGTGGACAGTGGCTGGAGGTCTGACATATCTAATTGCTCACTATTGCATGTCTGTGTAACCCGAAGTTCTTTATTTCAGTTCACTTCTTGCTCAGCTGGGCGTTCTGAATAATAGCAGGCTGAGTGTGTGTCTAAGGTGTGAAACCTTATAAGTCATATGTCATTCAAGAACTACAGCCTCGCCAGTGACAGAGCTGGCGGCATTCATCATCTGCCCCACTCCTTCCCCATGCCTATAGAAACCACAGTTAGCAACAACAACAAAAATGGCTGGCTGTGACAATGAAAAGAATTAGTTGATGTGATTGGATAAAAATTAACATAGAAACTAATATTATCTCATTATAAAATGAAGAGGTGCTCTAGGGAAACTTATAATAGCATCAAGAGATAAAATGATAAGCTTTCAAGATAAGCATTTTTTGATTTTGTTTTTCGAGACAGGGTTTCCCTGTATTGTTTTGGAGGCTGTCCTGGAACTGGCTCTGTAGACCAGGCTGGCCTCGAACTCACAGAGATCCACCTGTCCCTGCCTGGAGAGTGCTGGGATTAAAAGCGTGTGCCACCAACGCCCGGCAAGATAAGCAATTTGTATGAATAAAACTTTTGAGGGGCAGAAAAGAAGACACGAGTAAGTAGAAACACACAGATCGTCTCATTAGGCGGGAAGAACATGAATAGCAACACAAAAAGGATCAAAAGCCTAAACATAAACCATCAAAGCTGCAAAATTCTTGGACACAACAGAAGCTTCATCACACTGGATTTGTAGACGGCTCCCTGGAGATAACACCTCTATTAGTTACTCCTGTTGCTGGGATACAACACTGTGACCAACACAGAAGGAAGAGTTTATTTGGGCACACGATTCCAGAGGGTTAGAGCCTGTAAATGTGGGGACAGCATAGCAGCAAGCGGTGGGCATGATAGCTGGGGCAGGAAGCTGAGCGTTCACATTCCCAACCACAAACGTCGAG